TCCATCCAGTTAATCGAAGAAGAAACCAATTTGGCGAATTCCACCATCTAATTGATGACCTAGTGAATCATGACTTAAAGCTTAGACCATATTACAGCCTGGAGGGTGATGGTGACAGCCCAGGTTGCTATTGTTATAAATCATGAATAAAGCATTTCTGATTCTGATAGTGCACCTTCGTGTATTCGGAGTAGCAAGTGACGCATAGCTAGCTGGCGTAGCAGCAGCGATGTCGCTCCCGTCGCTCGCATATTAAGACGGTGTGAACATGCTTATTTAAATAACATTAAGAGCTATGTCAGCGACGTCTTCCAAAAACGTAGTAACATGTCTGTAACACCAATGTAAATAGTCCCTAGGTGTAAGAACTAAGAACATCAAATCAAGGCAAGATAACTGAGATTTAGAAGTATCAAATAAGCCAAAAGGATGACTGGAAATACAGCGGTAGATGGCCTCATCCAAGAATAACATGAGCCTTCTGGGTTAAGTAATACCACTTGTTCCGTATTCAAGCATCTACGCAACCTAGGTGAATCCAGACTTCATTCATATTTTGTTCTGACCCTTGCCCTGTCACGTGATGTCTGGCAATTCCCCCATTCCTCATGTACTCTTCAACCCGGCATCATGTTCTCGCCATTTTCCCTAGTTTTGTATTATAATATTTCCCTACTCTATTTGTGGCATATAAATTGAACTTATATTATCGTATGTTTATCTTATGTATTTATTTGTGACACACCTAACAAAAAAGTGAACTGAATAGTTAAAAACTGTATTCAAACTGTTCTTGGTGCAACTACCGGTCGCGTACGCGAAAGCTGGCCAGCAAACATCAAGTGCGTCAACGGTCTACTAGACATCACTTCAGTAAAAAGGAAGGTACCAAATCACATTTCTTCCTATTTAAAAGTTTATTATTTTGTGCTCACAGTGTTCTCTAAAGCTGATCTTAACATAATATATCTCACATCCCTCATTTTTTATACAGTCCACCATATCGAAGTTTACCCCCCATTCGCTGGTCCTGTCGACCCGGACTACATTTGCCAATTAAAATTTAATTGATACAGTACAATAATTTATTTCTCAAATGAATGTTTATGATCAGTGTCACATCCCTAACTGGTAATATTTTGTCTTGTGAAACATTATTACGAACAATTTTAATGTCCATTCCTGTTTCATACCAGACAATTATTTTCATGTTCAATTTTGTCACTGCCACCTAAATCACGTCAAGTTAGGCCTACCTAGTTTGTCTTGAAATAAATCAAGCTTAGAACATTTTTCAGGATTGAATATTTATTCACATCTCATCCATAAAATCCTTTTAAATAATAAGGTCTCACAATCCATTCAGCCTTATTAATGGGGTGTATAAATAAAACTGCAAAGTTAGTAGTTATTTCCCTGAAATATTCTATCCCATTGTCCGCCATTTTGCAACAACGTTCTGTCCTTTGCGATACACCTTGGTAGTTGGTAGTTCTCAACTTCGCCAACAGATCGCTCTGCGCTACATGGCAACCAATAACCTACAAGATTAGTGAAACGGTGGAACTGAGGACGAACCAATCACCTGTCTGCTATTAAACTGAAAACTCAACTCATCAAAACTCTGTTCATCTACATCAGCTGTTTGTTTAAATATAACCCGATATTGAATTGAAACATATCAACATAACCTGCAAGTTTGTTTATGTTGTTGAAAAATGAAGACATTATTTATTTAATCAAATACTAATTGAAAAGGGTCCTGAACTGGAGAAAACTGGTAATTATTGTTATTGCTATGCTCTCTTTATTCATTATTGTAAATATTATTGTCAACAGAGATTATTGGTGATAATAACAAATTGATAATTGACTTCACTTTACTATTGAAGTTGAATTGCAAATTGATTTATGCACTTCAGTAGGCCTAGATTTATGAGATCATTATTAATTTAAGATTTTGGGCTATTTTATGAAAACTCATCTATTCTTGTTGTGTGTTATTTAATTTGTTTGTTCATGATGAGATTCACTACCCTACAAAGAAAAGCAAAACTTGTTAAAAACAGGTTTCAGAAAATAAATAAATATTTGTCAAACCAACTTCCTTGAACTGAAGGTCAAGAATTGATTCCTGCTAATATACAGCGTTTACACAATTATAATGAGGAGGTCAGAGATCTATTTACTGACTTTAAAACTTTATTTAATAGAGTTGTGACTGATGACCCTGCTTCTGATTGTGATGAGGAGGAATCATTTTCAATGCATGATGAACTTTCTGACTTGTATGTTCCCTTATAAGTGACATTAAAGTTCTTTTGCCAGTTGAACCTGTTGTAACACCTACTCCACCTCCAGCTTCTCTGCGCCTGCCTAAATTTGAGTTGCCTAAATTTAGTGGTAACTATGAAGAGTGGGTTAGTTTCTATAATATTTTTGAAGCCTCTGTCAATGTGAATAATTCTGTCTCCCCAGTGAATAAGTTTCAGTATTTGCTTAGTGCCCTGAGTGGTGAGCCCTTAGACTTGGTTAAGAGTCTTAATATTACTCCTGAAAACTATGTGGTAGCCCTTCGACTTCTCAAGGATCGCTATGAAAACAAGAGATGTATTGTCACTCAGCTCGTTACAAAAATTCTGGATTTGTCGCCCATTACTAGTGGTTCGCTTAAGAGCTTGCAATCATTTCTCACTGTATATAAGGAAAATACTCAAGCTTTGAAAAACTTAAATCATGACATTACAACTGAAAACACCCTGTTAGTCTTAACACTTTTAAAGAAGATCCCAGCTGATATTAGAAAATCTTTTGAAGACTCTCGCGCCTTAAACAATGAGATCCCTCTTGTTAATGATTTAATGACCTTTCTTGAAATGGAATTCAAGCGTTTAGAAGGTGCTAGTATTTGTCTCAGTTCACCATCTACCTCAAAGTATTCCACTGGCCAAAAATGTCCTACAAACATAACTAGGCCTAATAAGTTTACACGTGAAAGTAAGCCACATTTCACCAACCATACAAAAACTGCTCTTGTCGCCACAACCAACTCTTGTAGATTTTGTCAAGCTGCAGATCACAACATATACAAGTGTCAAAATTTCCTAGCTAGAAGTGTGAGTGAAAGATCTGAGTTTATTCGCAAGAATAGGATTTGTACAAACTGCCTCGGTTATCTTCATAACACTTTCAACTGCCCCTCAAGTAAAGTGTGTCAGATTTGCTCCAAACATCACCATACTCTATTGCATGAGCCCACACGTAGTTCACTTCAGTCACAGTCAAGCTATCAAACTAAGCTGTCTCCTCAAAATAAGACCTACACACCTAATTCATCTTCAAAGAATACAACAACTATTAATCCTACTGCTTCTACAAACGTTAACGCTTTTGTAGGATTGTCTAGTCAACTCAATCCAACTAAAACCACAATCCTTCTTGGTACATGTTTAGTTCATGTCTCTTCACAACATGGTCAACATACTGTACTCCGTGCTGTGCTCGACTCCGCTGCCCAACTTACCCTTATATCAGAGAAAGCTATTCAACTCATCAACGCCCCACGTACTCGACTCCATGATGAAATAAAAGGAATCTCTGGTGCAGTTATTAATTCTAGAGGTATCGTACATGTCAACATGTCTGCGATCAATGGAAATCCTTTGGCTAAAAACCATCCTTGTATGGTTTTGAGTAGTATCACATCACCCCTGCCTCAGATACCAGTTTCACACCAGGTTAAGGAATCTTTGAAACATTTTATCCTAGCCGATCCCTGTTTCGATCAGCCTGGAGAGATAGATTTACTTATCGGTGCAGACTTATTTGCCCTAACCCTCACAGGCGAACAGCATAGATTAGGACAAAATTTACCTCAAGCTCTTGGAACCATTTTCGGTTTTGTTGTGATGGGCCTCGCTCCTGTAGCCTCTGTAGCAGGAAACTCATCAAACACATTTCCCATCTCACTCTTGACAACTCATGATTTGGACCTTCATAATTCACTTCAAAAATTCTGGACGCTAGAAGAACCCCCAATACGGATCAAGGCTCAGACTGAGGAAGATACCCTCTGTTTACAACATTTTGAAAACACCCATAGACGTGATGACTCAGGTCGTTACATAATCGAGCTGCCCAAGAAACCAAATCATTCCCCTCTTGGTGAATCTTGTACCAAAGCACAATTGAGACTTAGCTCGATGGAAAGGAAATTCTCTAATCAACCCGAGTTACAAAGGCTCTATTCTGAATTTATGGATGACTACATTGAATCAGGTCATATGACTATTTGTAAAGAACCTCCTACCTCTGAATACTATTATTTGCCTCACCACGGTGTCTTCAAGGAGAATCCCCCGAATTCAAAAATACGTGTTGTTTTTGACGGCAGCGCTAAAACTACTAATGGCATATCATTGAACGACATTCTCATGCCCGGTCCCAAACTTCAAAATGATATCAGTGATGTTTTATTGTATTTTAGATGTCATAAAATTGTATTCACCTGTGACATACGTCAAATGTATCGTCAGATCTTGGTTTCTGATAAGGACAAAAGTTATCAAATGATATACTGGCGTGCTAGTCCAGATGATCCACTCCAAACGTACAAACTCAATACAGTTACATATGGGCTTAATTGTTCCCCTTTTATTGCAATCAAAACCTTGCACCAGCTAGTTTTGGACGAAGGTCAACCATACCCACAAGCTTCTGATATCTTGACCAAGTCTATCTTCTATGATGATATTATAGCTGGAGCTGAAGATCTCGATAAAGCTATGTCAGCTCAAAATGAACTGAAAACATTGCTGTCTAAAGGCGGTTTTGAACTCCGTAAGTGGATCAGTAATGCACCCCAACTCTTGGATCAGATTCCAGTCGAACACAAAGAATCACCAGTGGAGTTGACTGATGGTAGTGAGGCCTTCTACAGTGTATTGGGTTTAAGATGGACCCCAGAGACAGACATGCTCTCATACAAAGTAAAGAATGTTGAAGTAGGCCACTTGCTAACCAAGAGAATGATTCTCTCAACAATCGCTAAACTCTATGATCTCCCAGGATTTCTCACACCTGTAATATTTTGGGCTAAAACACTCATTCAATATCTTTGGACCACAGGTCTAAAATGGGATGATCCAATTCAAGATGAGATAAGAACAAAATGGATTTCCTTTTTAGAAGAACTACCCGTGATCCAAAACCTAAGGATCCCACGTTACATCTTTACCTCAACTCATAAGCTTGCAGAACTTCATGGTTTCAGCGATGCTTCGGAGAAAGGATATGCTGCAGTAGTCTACCTCCGTGTGATCAACTTATCGAATGATGTTAAAATTAATCTGATAATGGCCAAATCTAAAGTCGCCCCACTAAAAAGAGTATCTCTGCCTCGTCTCGAACTGTGCGGTGCTCACCTACTTGGAAAGCTCCTGCAATACTGTTCAAATCTTCTTTCGTCCCACATTAAGATTGACTCGATGTATGCTTGGTGTGACTCTACCATTGTTCTTACATGGATATGCACTCACCCCTATCGCTTAAAAGTCTATGTGGCCAACCGTGTCTCAGAACTACAAGAATTAATCTCTCCTGAATCATGGCATTACGTCAAGTCCCTAGACAACCCAGCAGATTGTGCAACCCGAGGACTCTCCCCATCTCAACTCTTAAGCCACCAATTGTGGTGGAAGGGACCTGAATGGTTATACTTGTCATCAGATCTTTGGCCAAAGCCCGAATTCAGTTTAATCACTGATCAAGACACTCTTGAAGTCAAACCAAATCCCTTGAATGTCCTAGTTAACGTTGAAAAGTTAGAAAATGACAGATTTGATTTACTTGAAAAATTCTCATGCTTTAGAAAACTTGTAAATGTCACTGCTTATGTTCTACGATTCATCCATTATCTTCGTGGCAACGCCCGACTAGCTGGACAACTTAGTTATAAAGAGATCTCTTCTGCTAAAATGAATCTCTTCAAACTCATTCAAATTTCATCTTTCAAGGATGACATCACAGCTCTGAAAAAGGGCACTCAGTGCAGCTTAAGACTGGCTCGGTTATCACCTTACATTGACGATAACGGTTTGGTAAGAGTAGGCGGTAGGTTGAAACATTCGAACCTTACTCAAGATGCCAAATACCCAATCCTGTTACCTAAATCTCATAATGTTGTAAAACTGTTGGTCATGCACTATCATCTCAAATATTTACACGCAGGCCCTCAGTTGCTGCAATCGATCCTCACTCAAGAAGTATGGATATTATCTGCTCGTAGTGTAATCAGATCTGTAATCTTTAAATGTTAAAGATGTTTTAAGTTGAAACCTACAAATCAACCTCCACTTATGGGAGACTTACCCGAAACTCGACTACGGCCTGTAAGACCATTCTGTCATACTGGCATGGATTATAGCGGTCACTTTGAAGTGAAAGTACACACCACTAGGAATTCTCAAAAGCTTAAGTCATACCTCTGCCTATTTGTTTGCTTTACCACAAAAGCGGTGCACTTGGAAGTTGTAACTGATCTCTCAGTGGACTCATTCATTGCTGCTCTTAAAAGATTTGTTTCTCGTCGTGGACTTTGTGCTCACCTATACTCTGATTGTGGAACAAACTATGTCGGTGCCTCCAAGCAACTAAATAAGACCTTCCAGAATTTCATTGATGAAAGGAATACTCAAGATGCTCTCACTAACTTCGCCCTCGATCATTCAATTAATTTTCATTTCCAACCACCAGCCGCGCCTCACCAAGGAGGCCTTTGGGAGAGTGCCATAAAGAGCTCAAAGTACCATCTCAAGAGAGTAATTGGAGATCAAATTCTAACACTAATGGAGCTGATAACTCTTGTCACGCAGGTGGAAGCAGTATTGAACTCTCGTCCACTAACAGCTCTATCAGCAGATCCATCTGACATCACAGCACTCACCCCAGGTCATTTCCTCATCGGGACATCTCTTGTTGCAGTACCTGAAGTAAATGTATCCGATATTCCTGACAATCGACTAAAGCATTGGCAAACAGTTCAGGCTCTACATCAACGCTTCTGGAGAAGGTGGCACCAAGAGTATTTGCACCAGCTTCAACAAAGGAAAAAGTGGATAAAGCCAAACAAGAATCTTGAAGTAGGCGATTTAGTCATTATCCATGACCCAAAAACACCACCACTTCTCTGGCCTCTTGGTCGCATTGTGAAAACATCACCTGGAGCAGATGGCATCGTTCGAGTTGTCTCCATCAAGACTTCGAGAGGAATCTTCTGTCGCCCTGCTACCAAGGTGTACCCGCTCCCCTAATCACAAAATATTTCTATTTAATGTCCTATTTCATGTTTATTTATATTTATAATTGTCATATATATCATATCTTATAATTAGGTGTGTCATCATTATCTATTGTGTATATATCTACATTGTATTACTTGTGCCCATTTATGAGTCAATGAATCAATTTATGAATCTGTTGAACCATGTATGGTTCAAGGCGGGCGGCATGTTCCGTATTCAAGCATCTACGCAACCTAGGTGAATCCAGACTTCATTCATATTTTGTTCTGACCCTTGCCCTGTCACGTGATGTCTGGCAATTCCCCCCATTCCTCATGTACTCTTCAACCCAGCATCATTTTCTCGCCATTTTCCCTAGTTTTGTATTATAATATTCCCCTACTCTATTTGTGGCATATAAATTGAACTTATATTATCGTATGTTTATCTTATGTATTTATTTGTGACACACCTAACAAAACAGTGAACTGAATAGTTAAAAACTGTATTCAAACTGTTCTTGGTGCAACTACCGGTCGCGTACGCGAAAGCTGGCCAGCAAACATCAAGTGCGTCAACGGTCTACTAGACATCACTTCAGTAAAAAGGAAGGTACCAAATCACATTTCTTCCTATTTAAAAGTTTATTATTTTGTGCTCACAGTGTGTCTCTAAAGCTGATCTTAACATAATATATCTCACATCCCTCATTTTTTATACAGTCCACCATATCGAAGTTTACCCCCCACCACTGATGATACCAATCCCAGTTGTGAGGTTAGGTTTAGTGTGTACAAACCCCACAAGTATAGGGGGAACCATGGTGACAAGCAATGTACCCCTTTGTGGCTAGAAGAGATTCCCCCTCTCGGATGAATAAGGGGAAGGTGGAAGCTTTTGTTACTGGGCATCAAAGAGGAATTCGTCCAACAACATTAACGCCTGCTAATTGCAGGATTTGCTCAAGTGTTATCATGTGTTTGTCATATTGTTCTTTATTGAAGTTTTAGGTGGACATTGTACAATACAACCACTTATGTGTGAAGAAATTTGTGCAATGATTTTAGGATGACGCCACAAAACTGTATTAACAGAACTTAACTTCACTTCCAAAAGCCTTAAGACCTAAGTAACAATCTTGTACCAGAAAAATACTAAATAGGCCAGATAAATCAAGTGATAATTATGAAATAAAGTGTTAGTAAAAATCCAATGTGGCGGACTCAGTGAACTTGCACCAAACTCAAAAGTAGTGTTGTAAGTATAGTCGGATTATTCAAATAGACCTTCATCTAACAATTTGTTCTGCAAAGTACAGTCGGAAACCCTCTGATATACCTACTAAGTACAGTCTGTACCCTCTGATAGACCTTCTTAGTACAGTCTGTACCCTCTGACAGACCTTCTTAGTACAGTCTGTGTTTTAATAATAGACATCTAGCCTATAATGGACGAAAACACCATGTTGCTTCGGGGCGGCAAGACCATAAAGGTTATAAAGGACATTAATCCTGAAGAACTGGGGGATGTACCTGATAATATTCTGGATGTAACAGAAGAGTATAGCCAATTAAAGTTTGAAAATAGTAAATTGAAAAACTATATTTCTATGATGGAAAGTGAGATAGATGAATCACTAAATGAACTAAAATGTAGAGTTTTAAGCCTAGAGGCTGAAAACGACAAACTTAAAATAACAGTAGGTATCTGTGACAGCCATGATGAGTAGGTTAGTAATAATGAACTTAAGGCGGAACTGCTAGAAGCTGAAAGAAAAATGAAACAAGATAATTCTCTCAAAGGAGAAATGATTAAACAAATTTACCTACTAAATGAAGTGATCGCTTCAAAGAATGAAATAATTTTATTGCTAAGAGAACAGGTGTCTACTCAGAATAACGCACAAGATAGGCCTGGGCCTACACTTTATTCAGAAGCATGTACTCAGAGTTTCGTACTGGCCACTAAAACAGCTAAGCCGGCAACAAAAAGTTCAGTAAATTTCAAAAGCAGAAATAAATTTGAAACGCTGGCAAATCTGCCTAATCAAAAGGCAGAAGAACCAAGGGTGGAGTCCTTGTCTAATGAAGTCTCGCCCCAAAGACACAAACCTACTGCTGTGAATAGGCCTAAGTGTAAGGTTGTGGAAATAAATAAGAGCCAAAGCCTGAAGACTCAGTCTCTGAAGAGACGAAAAATTTTGATACTAGCTGATAGTCACGGAAGACATCTATACAAAAAAATAATAGGCTCGAAGGATGATGTGGGCGATGTCTGTTGCATTTTTAAGTTGAATGCTAAGTTGGAGGAGGTGGTTCAAGAAGTAAAAGTTTTGACTCAAGACTTCACCAAAAATGATTATAATTGCGGAAACCAATAACAGGATTATCAACGAAGAAGACAAAATTATCCATACAATGAGAGAAACAGTTGATCACCTTACACATACCAATGTTGTGGGGGCAGGAATTCCAGTACAACATCAACGGCCAGAAGTCTGCGACTCTGTGGACTACATTAATTTTGAGTAGGAACATATTGCTGCAAGAAGGACTCGGGTTAAATTTCTTCCCATCAATGAACTACCTCGACATTACTATGCAAGGAACGTCCTACATTTTTAACAAACGTGGCAAGGTGTCAATTGGGCAACAGATTGTGATTTTGCTGGACTCATGCAGAGGAGAAGATAAGCTGCAGGTTAAATCTAATTCAGTGGCTCAAGCGATAGACTGTGCTGTGCCCCAGACATCGGATGATTCACCCGCGAGAAAAACGCCGGCAGCAAACAGCGATGGGTGCAACGCAGATTGCTCTACATTCGAAGAGGCAACTGATGTAGAAAAGAGCTTCGAGACACAGCAACCGGAAAATGATTTCTCAGAGGACTCTTCAGCGGATGAGTTTCCAGGTTTTTCAACACCTTCTTTGTCCTTAAGAGATGATATGTGTAGGTTAGTAAATAATTTAGAATGTACTACACCATGCAAAGGTCAGGATAATAAGCCAGATGTTAGTAGGCCCTCAATCAATAGTAGTACGCCAATGTTCAATAGGCCTAGTGTTTTTTTACCAGTGAAATAGGCATAACCAGTAAAAAGTATGATATCAACAATTTGGTGCATAAGGGGGGACCAAATCAAACCACTTGGCTTGGTTTTTTATTTGTAAATATACAGGGATTAAATGGGAAAAATTAATTGTTTTAGAACGTTTTTTAACTAGGGTAAATGAAGTTGATTTTATTTGCTTGTCTGAGCACTGGCTCAACCAAAATGAGGTTATGAATTAATTTCCAGATGGATATCACTGTGTTAGCGCTTTTTGTAGAGAAGAACGTATAAGGGGAGGCACTGTTATTTTTGTAATAAACAATTTTATTCCTAAACTTTTAGATATTAATATTTTTTGTGTTGAGTTACATTTTGAAGCCTCTGCAGTTATTATTGAGAGCCATAAATTAATTATTGTGTCAATTTACCATTCTCCCTCTGGTGATTCTGATTTATTTTTAGATAAGTTGGATGATCTGTTGTTATTTTTATCTCAGTGGCTTAATTATACAGTGGTTGTGGGTGGAGATGTAAATAATAAGTTCAATGTCAATAAGGATGTAAAAACTGTAAAAGAATTTCTCAATATTTTAAGGCAAAATAACTTTTTATGTTTGAACTCAGCTGCAGCCCATGGCACTACTTTCACTACTTTGGCAGTATCAAGGTATTATTAGTTTTAAATATAAATGCGTTGTAATCTGTTATTAGGGCTTTCACTACTTTGGCTGTATTTAGGTATTTTATTAATAGTTATAAATAATAGAGGTTGGCAACAATTTTTTACCTTAAATTTACCTTGTGGAAAATGACCTCATAAACCTGTGTGTGAAATGAATCAAACAGAGCAAGGAATAAGCTGATACAGTACAAGATTGAACAGATTGAGCAATTTTAAGAAGTGTTTCTGGTACGAAAACAGAAAACCAAAACATGACTACTTGATTTCACAACTCATCGCCCTAATGACTGAGACACCGACTTATCCTTTATTGGAGAGTATCTAGGAGTCTAGGTATTACCAACATATTCTTACGGTTGTGTAACAACTGGTAATACGGGAAATTGAATTTATATGTAAGCGTAAAAAATAATGAACAATAAATTATCAATTTTGACGTAACTTAGGGTCACTTGAAAACAGGGGGAGTTTTCTTACCTCTTGAAATGAAGTGTAGTTTTAAACACTAAGAGATAGGAATTTAAAACACAGAAAAGTGTTTTAATTTTAGATTTTTTGTTCAGAGCTTTCCTGGAACATTAATGTTTTTGTTAACTTATTGATATTTGGGACGTTTCATTTTACATTAGAGGTACTAAATAGGTTTGCTAGCGTTAACAGGGCTGTCTATAGGTATTTCAATACCTGTTTCACTGTATTTTATAATACTGGTATATAAACACACTCACCATTGTGTAAACATTGGTGTTGAAGCAATCAGCCAAAACCTGTAGAACTTCTTTATTAGCAGAGCCACCCCCTGTAGCTAATATCCTTGAATCTTTTCCTGGAACATTAATTGGTAATTTGAAACATCTAATTTCATATATAGATACTGATCACGATTACCATTATTTCCCTGTCTTGTAACAATGCCAATGAATACAATTTGCATCCGAAGTATTGTATTGTATGAGCTGCAAACTCAGGGTCTCGGCATGTCAACCGAAGCTTATTCTGCATGCCCCACTTGCCGCTAACTAGGAAAAGGAAGGGAGAAGGAAAGAGGAGCTCTTCAATAGGAGAGCAAAGAAGAAAAAAGAGCCAGCAAAAGAAGAAGTAAGCTGGTCATAGAACAGCCTACAAGAGGCCTCCTATGTAGTTGACAGACTACTACTCCTGAGGGGTGGATCAAAGGTAAAAAAAGACTCTTGAAACCATTATAATCAACTTTAAAGGGCTGTCTGTAAATTAAGGTCTCTATTGAGCTCCAGTCTTGGCTAAATGAGCTAGTTAAAATATGAGCCCATCATTTACTATTCAAGCCAGTTTGCAATCTTATGTGACAATTAGTCTCATAGTAGAAGTTGAAAACGATATGAAGGAAAATAAGAATTCCTGCTTGTATGAATCGGTTGCTGTTATTAAATTTTCTTGCTCTAAGGCACAAGCCACAATTGAAATCAGTTGCTAGTTGAGAGTTTGCAGAAACATTGTGCTATGTACATAATGTGTATAGGTGGCTTGGAAGTTTGCAGAAGGCCATACACATTTGGACAACAAGGTCAGAAATGGGTGATCATGAGATTAAACAGTGATTAAAGGTCAGGAAGCCTTGCTTGTTGATCGGCATGGTTAAGACTACCAGGCTTTACCGTTGTCCTTGATAGTGTGAGTAGACAACTCCTGTGAGTTTGGCAATCCCTTGTTCAATCATCGACTAGAGCCAGCCTATACCATGAAAGAAATCTTGAACATTGTGCATGTGTCTACGATCACACCCAAACTCACTCCACCCCTCGGCTAATATGCAACATCCAAACACTATAGAGCTTGACGCCTTAACCCTCCGAGTGTCCATAGCCTTAATGTCCGCCTATTTTTGGCGCATTTGCAAGGTTTTATTAAAACGGATCTGAAAAGCTTAAAACAATGTTAATTCTACTGTTCTATATACCATTTTGTTTGGAAAATCATGGGCTTCAATATCATACATAAAACCTAAGGAATATTTTTTTCAAAAAAATTTTTTTAGGTAAAAATAAAAATTGTTTTGGAAAAATTGAAAAAAAAAATAAGTTCGCGCTCAATGAAATTGTATAAATTATAGGCCTATAAATATTTGAAAATACAGTAGAACCCCTCATATCCGGCCTTGGTTTTACCGGTCCTCTGTTTATCCGGCCTCTTCCAGGAAGCCAATATAAAAATTTTTTCTCTCAGCTTACAGACGTTTAGATGCAAACACTAGTCTTTGTGACTGCTCAAGTCATAAAATAAATTGTTCTCACTCTGTTTGTTTATACATTTATTTGCTGAGTCACTATACTCAGTTGAGCTAGTAGGCCTAACCTCTTATCAGTTGGTTGATTATTTCCAAAGTGGGGTTAGTACAGTACGAGCACATTAATTTTTGTACTTCACAAAATGGTTAAGAATGTTGAGTAGAAATGCATGTACCATTTAAGTCCTAATGATCTTTAAGTACAATTTATTGTCATTTTTACCTCCATTTAATAGGTTTTGTTACCTGGAATCATAATATTTGTACATTTATTACTTAATGACTTTAACCTACAAATATTTTTTTTTCTTTTTACAAACATGTTTATTTTTCTAAAAATGATCCCAGAACAGAATTAAATGATACTTTTGATTGCATATATTGATTACCCATTATTATTAGGTATGAATTGTCATTTTCATAGTAGGTTGGTTTATCCGGCCAAATCGTTATCCGGTCAGGGACTTGGTCCCGTGGTGGCCGGATATGAGAGGTTCTACTGTAGCCACTTTGTTCTAAATTTTATGAGGATTACAAATATATAATAATATAAGGAAGTAGATTTACAAATAAATAAGTTATGGGCAAAAAACAGATTTCAGTACATAGCGTTTAGCTAAGAATGCATAGCCTAACCATAGCTAGGAATCTGGCTGATAATTTACATCAATATCACTACCTACTTCTTCAGGATCATCAACCAGCCCTTCAAAATCACTTAAATCTTCTTATAATGCACCACGTATATCACTACTTTTGATTTTTAACACTAAAACAATGATAAACATAATAAAACACATCAGTCATCGGTCCGAGGTTAACTAACCTGTTTACAAATACGCACGTCAGCTGTCAGCTGTCTGCTACAATTACGATAGGCTCGGAGAACATAAAGCGCTTAGAGACAGACCTCTGGAGAAAGCTTAGAATATAACGAAAAGAACGATACCTAACTCGATCCAGTTCAATCCGATTTTGTCAGTCATAGAGCCTTCGCCGTAAACAGTGTTCGTGAGTCACTGCAGCGACGCATGACACTCGGAGGGTTAAACCATAGAAATCTTATCACCAAACATAATTTGAACTGGGAATGTTGATTTTCCTTTATAACATTTTCAGCTATGACGAGGCTAATCGTCATATAGAGTTGGAAACCAGCCAGAATAGAAGTGGATGAAGTTAAGAACATGGCGCTTGTCTCAGATCTGAACTACTTTACTTGGCCTTGGCGGAACTAGAATGGAGACCTTAATTTCCTATACAAACCTCTTACCATATCAACAAAATAGTGTTGGACAAATTATCTGCTCAAAAGAAGAAAAAGTGCCACAAAAAGCTATGAATTACAATACTTTTTTAATGCAAATGTACTGTAGGAACTTAAAATATACTAAACTTTTATATTACTAACAGTCTTTTAGTTTTGAAAATCACAGTAAAATTTAATGTGTAGGACTTTCTGTAATCTGAAAAACTCCAACACTTGTACAAAATATCAGTATTATGTTGGGTGAAATTTATTCGTGCAACATCAATTTATTCTATGAGCCTTTGGACGATAATCTTCTCAGGTAGATGTATGCCAGTTGAACTCTATTACTTGCCCAAAAAAATCCTTAGACACCTTTATGTGATAGGCTAAATCTATTCATAAACTTGATTAAAAAACCAATAGACATGTAATCAAGAGGAAAACAATATACCAACCCACTATGAATCCAAGGTCCTCTGCATGTGCACGTTTGGCAATAAACTGTCCTTCTAGCAAAGCTCGAACCTCAGTCTCTGGAGTGAACTTGGTCACGCTGGAGTTACTTTTGTCCCATCTGAAGTCACCCTGAACAAACGGGATGATTTCTTGGGCATCATAGTACAATCCTAGACAAAAAGAAACATACTGAAATTTTAAAATGAGGATATCCTCTCTTAACTGATCATGGACCATTTGCCGCTTAGATTAACCACCTAAAATAGAGGTTGGTTCATCCATCCTGAATTTCAAAATTGGTTTGTTTAACCGACACTTTCTAGGAATCTAGAGATTTCCGTTATCAACTTTTATGTGGTAATGAAAAAAAATTGTGTTCGTGTAGGTCTAGTTTTGTTATGAAACACACGAGAAATAGCATAAACATGATTATGTAAGGGATTTCACAATTACCATTAAAGAGTTTGCAAGAAGATTGATAGTAATGATAGTGAAAAGGATTGCACCATATCACTAAAGGAGACAAGTTTGACAGAAAATGTACAAACATTATAACCCAAGGGATTACTGATACAACATCAATGAAGGAGACCAGTATTCCAAAAGTGAAGATGACATTTAATATTGTGACCTTGACAGAGTTGTTAGGCCCCTTGCCCACTATATGATTTTGGTCGTTCGATACTGTGTTGTACGATATTTTTATCGTATTTGCGGTCCTCGCTCATGTTACAACACTTTATAGGATAAATGACCAGTTGCTCGGTAGCCGTGGACGAGTGAGTGTGTGTTATCTATATCTCACAGTGGTTCTGTGTCAAATAGTGAAACAATTAATCCGTTACATGTTGTTGCAATGGGGCACAGAATTAAGCGGCGTAGGATTAAGCGGAAGTACTGGGTTCCCCCAATTAATCAAAGTAGAGAACACAGGAGCATTCCAAATTCTTTTTTAAGAACTCCGGCGTGATGATAACAAGTTTTGCAACTACTTCAGAATGTCCTTTATCCTCCAATTGTTCAAAATCCTCTCTCAGAGCAGAGCAAACTAGTTTCCACGCTTCTTTCATTGCATTTCTGTCCTAATAATTGTCCAAAGTTTTATTCCACAGAAGTTAGACATTCCACCCATGTAATAAAATCAAAACATCTTTGTCAATAATTATCACTTTAGTTGCTGTTTTCGATCCACACACCAATTTATTTGATGCAATTGTCACTATTCACTCCAAAAAACAAACGCAGTATGCGAAGTACACATCGAGAAGGTGGAGCGAGAACTAGGATTACTGGGGAGAACGCACGACTTCCGACAAAAAAATCGTGGTATAGGCGAGCCTCCATTTGATCTAGTCCGCCACTGTGAGCACGACAGTCGTGGATCACAGTGGGAGTAGAGGACTGCACCAGGACAGTTATCGTGGCCGTGAGACTGTCGTACAGTGGGCGAGCACTCATAAGATCCAATGGGTCACTATTGGAGTGTGGTCGGTCCGACACAGTGTCTTAAGGCCGAAATTGTGTAATGGGCGAGGGGCCTTTGTGATGGTGATTTGGATAAGCTTTTCGGTAAAACTTTTAGTGCTCAAGAGACTGATTTATCTGTTGATGAAAATCAACTTTTTCAATTTTTCCCTAACCTTGACAACATTTTCAAGGGACATACATACTTATCTGAGGTTAGCCAAGTACAAAGTTCTGAAACTGCTACACTCTTAGACATTAAATTACTAGGTTAATTTTTTAAATCACTGTATACGCTCTTGAGACACTGTTGCAAATACGGTAAACCATATAAAGTTACAATGTGTTTCACAGAGGTCTCGGCACCGAGGTGGCCAAAAGAGAGGGTTCCTACTGTAATTGAAAAGTGATTTGGTTCAGTAGATGGGTGAATGTACTATTTAATACTACGATTATCTCCCAATAGTGTTGAATAAGTATAATATTTAAAATAATTTATAAGTAAAATAGCATTTCTGTAAGGAAATTGTATTCCTGATGTTTACTAAAACTAAACTTTGTGTATCTTAATATGTAATTCTTTCCACAATTTTGAGATTTAGTGAACGAGTCATATGTCGATATAAGTTGACAAATCTAAAATAGACACTGATAACACAAAATCAATCGGATGAATTTGAATTAAGACTTAAAACATTACCTAAAACATCCAGTACATTGATTACATGTCTTTAATTACAATTAATACAGGGGGTGTGCGAAGCAGCTAAAATCTTTTGATTCCAAGCAATGATTCAATTCAAAAGATTTTTGATTCAAATTGATGCAACTCGATTTGAAGCAATATGGCATTTTTCTACCCATACTTGTCAATGGAGTGAAATAACAATAATTAAATTTACCACATTTGTGTATGCAAATTTTTGTTGATGTGTATATGTATGGTAAAAAATATTTAATTTCAATCATATTTTAGAAGAACCTGTATTGATCAAAATGTCAGGGAGCTCCTTTACTTGCATATTTCAAAATTTTTACTTGCAGAATCATATTGTTAAGCATGTTACCAATTTATGATATTGATTTTACAAATAAAGAAATGTTTTGGTGTAAACAAATAAACACATTTGTAAGATTTATATTGAAACTTTCTATTGGTTTACATTGATAAAATGAGAGGATAGAATCAGACCTACAAACTAAAAGGTATACATAGCTTCAGACCTACAAAAATACCAAATTTATCAGTATAAAACATCAGTCATGATAGTTAAGTATCAAGTAGGCCTAACAATTTTTCAGAGTTGCGTTATTTTTAGAATGATTTTGGAGTGACTTGTTTTGGCTATGTTTACAGTAGTAAAACATGCCTCAGACTGGTTACACTTAAAAAAAATTCTCATCATTTGCAATGGTAAAACAAAAAATTAAAACAATTAAAGCAATATTTACATGCAAAGAATTAATTAAATAAGAACGCCTTCAAAAAAGGATACGCAACAGCAACGCGCTCCTATAATGCGGGTATTGCATTGACTTTCTGCAGGCGTTTTTCCTATATAGATACTGATTCCCACATGAATCGAATAGGTTTTTGACCACCACTGAATCAAATCACGATTTGATGCATCGAATCGAATTGAATTGAAATTTCTATGCATTTTCGATGCATCGTGTTATATCTTCTAGTCTGTAGATATGTTGAATATTTACTTTTGACTAATTTGTCATATGGTTTTGGTTTTGTTTTGTTGTTGTCATAATAGTTTTATATGAGTTTTAAAAATAGAAGTGTAGTATTAAAAATTCTATTTTTTTCTAATTTTATCTTTATAGTTTTCATCACTTGAAGAAGGTAGGTGTGTAGTGTAAAACAACATTTGGCGACCGTGACAGGACTTGTTTTTCACCTATCTCTATGATGGAAAATCTAAAGAAAAATAGAACAGTATATAGGGCTTATTTTTCTAAAACATTGAACAAACTAAACAGTTTAGTTGAAAATGAAACCGCAGACAAAATTGAAATTCAAACCACTCTAAAGCTTTTGGAGATAAAGGTTGATGAACTACAGGTTTTGAATTCTCAGATCTTTGATTTGTTATTGAATAATGATAATGTTTCTGAAGATGAGCTGTTAGCTGAAACAATCTTAGCTGGAGAATATTTAGCTTTGTTTGAAGCTGTAAAATTAAGAGTCCAGAATTTACTACAACAAAGTAACGATGTAGTTAGTGCGCATTCTGGATCTTGCTGTAACAATGCTAGTAAGAAGAACTTTAAGCTCCCTAAAATAGAGATCAAAAAGTTTGATGGAGAATTGATCAATTGGCTACCTTTCTGGAGTCAGTTTAGCAAAATTCATAGTGACTCAGACATTGATTCAGAAGATAAGTTTCAATATTTATTGCAATCCATAGTTACCGGATCAAGAGCTTTTGATATAGTTCAGAGTTTTCCTCCGACTGGTGCAAACTATCCAAAAGCAATTGAATGTTTGAAAGCCAGATTTGGTAAAGATGACCTATTGGTAGAGGTTTATGTCAGGGAACTCTTGAAAATTGTTTTACAAAATGCTCTAGGAGGCAAGAACACAATGAACTTACAAAGTTTATATGACAAACTTGAGTCTCATATGCGTGCATTAGATACCTTGGGAGTTACAGCAGATAAATGTTCCTCCATGTTATACCCGTTAGTTGAAAGTTGTATGCCTGAAGATCTCTTAAGGGCCTGGCAAAGAAGCCCTTTGAAAGTAGGTACAGACCCTCAGGAAAGACTCAACAATTTAATGAAGTTTATGTTGTCTGAAGTTGAAGGGGAACAGAGAATCGGTCTAGCCATGGCAGGTTTTGGGATAAGTAGCTCGGGGAAGGAGAAATCTTTTAAAAGGTCATCTCAAACTCAACCAGGTAAGATAGACATACCAACAGCTTCATGCCTCATGTCCTCTGGTAAAACTCAAAACTCTTATACAAAGTGTGTCTTTTGTGATAAGAATCATAAGAGTAGTAACTGTTTTGCTGCTCAGAAATTGCCATTGTCTGATAAAGTGTCCACTTTAAAGGAAAAGAAATGCCGTTTCCTTTGCTTGCAGCCTGGTCACCGTATTAAGGATTGTAGAGCTCATTTGTCATGTTCTAATTGTAAAAGGAAACATTATCCTATAATGTGTCCTAATATTCATTCCAAAGAAGTAGTGAATGAGTGTGTAAGCAAATGTGTTGATGAGGTATCTAAAGAAATGACAGTAGTGGAAGATACCGCTTTGGCCAATAAATCAAGTAGCAGAGTGAAAGTGTTTCTGCAAACAGTAAAGACAAGATTAAGAACCCCAGGTAGTAATCAATTTGAGACTGTTCACATTCTTTTTGATTCTGGTTCACAGCGTTCTTACATTTTAAAGGACTTGGCTGAAAAAATGAATTACGAAAGCTTAGGAGAAGAAACAATCATACACTCTCTTTTTGGTAATGTCAAATCTGGTGAAGTAATTCATAACAGACATCGTGTGTTTCTAACCAGTCAAGATTACAGTTACAACTGCAACTTTGAGGTATTGAGTCAAACTACCATATGTGGGGAAATTCCACCTGTTACCGAAGGTCCCTGGATACAGGAACTTTTAGAGAAAAATGTTTCTCTGACTGACATACATGAGACCAAGCTACCAATTGGTATTTTGATTGGAGCGGATATAGCGGGTAAACTATTCACGGGAAATATGATTCAACTGAAATCTGGACTAGTGGCTATGGAAACTCTTCTGGGATGGACACTGATGGGTAAGGCTATAATTAGTGGTAGTACAGGTTCAACTACACTCTCCACTGTTGTAACATCAATGTTTATTAATGATGCTGACATATCGGAACTGTGGAGATTAGACACTATAAGCATTACTGATACAAGTGAATCAGTTTCCAAAGAGCAAAAGGCTTTGGCAGTTAAAAATCATTTTATAAAAACTACCACTATAAATGAAGAAGGTCGATATGAAGTAAGTTTGCCCTGGGTTGATTGTCTTCCTCCTTTGCCTAGTAACAGAGAGTTAGCCGAAAAGAGGTTATCAAAAGTTGTAAAGAAATTGGATGGTAACAATTTAACCGAAGACAATGACTCAGTTTTTAAACAGTGGTTAAGTGATGGCATCATTGAAGCTGTACCTTCTGACGATTTGAACAACAACTTTCACTACCTGCCACATAGACCTGTAGTGAAGGAGAGTAGTATTACCACACGAATTCGTCCAGTGTTGATGCATCAGCAAAGACCAAGTTTTCACCCTCATTGAACGACTGTATTGAAAACGGACCAAATTTAATTGAACTGATTCCTTCTGTTATGATGCGTTTTAGGGAAGGGAAGTTTGGAGTTATTGCTGATATAGCAAAAGCCTTCTTACAGATATCGTTAAATGTACAAGATAGAGATTTTCTTCGGTTTTTATGGTTTGACATCAATGAAAGAAGCCGAAGTATTGTTTACCGCCATAAAAGAGTTGTTTTTGGAGTGAAATGTAGTCCATTTCTTCTAGGAGCAGTAATTGATTTACATCTTCAAAAATCTTTGACTTCTCAGGAGTTTGATGTTAATGTGGTAGAGAAGCTGAGTAAAAGTTTTTACGTGGACAATGTTTCGACCAGTGTAGATACTTATGAGGAACTAAAACACTTTGTTGAAGAATCGAAACAAGTTATGGCTGCCGCTAAGTTTGATTTAAGAGGATGGCATGCCACGAGCGTCATTGAAGAAGGAGATACCAAGTTCATCACTAATGTTTTGGGAGTTCAATGGAACTATATTGAGGACGTTCTGTTTTTTATCCTGACGAACTGTATTAAAGATTTGGACGTGTCTCGAATCACAAAGAGAGACATTTTATCCATATCTCACAAGATCTTTGATCCAATTGGTATCCTTTGCTCTATAACTTTGTTTCCTAAACTTCTTCTGCAAAGTATGTGGGACTTGAAAATTGACTGGGACACTGAAGTAAGTTCAGACATCAGTAAACGATTCATACTGTGGTATAATGAGTTAAGCGCTCTTGAAAAAGTGAAAATACCCCGATGGATAGGTAAAATGACTATGGATTCAAATGGTTGTAGTATTCATACATTTTGCGACGCGAGTAAAGATGCCTATGCTACAGTTATTTACTTGAGAGTTGAAATTGAAGATGAAGTAAGAGTACAATTATTGTCTGCAAAATCAAGAGTTGCTCCTCTGAATAAAACTACGATTCCAAGGTTGGAATTATTAACCGCCACGGTGGGAGCACGTCTCACAAGCTGGACGAAAAATGAAAGTTCCAAAAAGGTTCATGTTTGAGTAGTAATACTACTCGGTGGGAGGATGTTATATCTTCTAGTCTGTAGATATGATGAGTATTTACTTTTGACTAATTTAATTGTCATATGGTTTTGGTTTTGTTTTGTTGTTGTCATAATAGTTTTATATGAGTTTTAAAAATAGAAGTGTAGTATTAAAAAGTCTAGTTTTTTCTAATTTTATCTTTATAGTTTTCATCACTTGAAGAAGGTAGGTGTGTAGTGTAAAACAACACATCGCACACCCCTAATTAATAATTTTCTTACCAAAGTTTCCAAAATTGCCCCTAGGTGTGCTGTTCAGAAGACTGCTAAATCTTTCCCATGACTTTTCAGCAACAAAATTTCTGATCCTTTCTCTTGTGAGTGAGCCGTTCTTGAAACTGAAACAAAATTTTTTGAAAGTCACTTTAAAAAGGGAATACAGAGGACATACTCTACCCTACTACGTGTAATATGTTAAACAAATATGTAGTCTGTAATACGTTTCAGCCAGTAGATATAGGTAATTTGAAAAGGAAATCTGTAGCAGTGAAACTAATGTGCCTGCCACACTAGATATTTACTGCTAACTAGATATTTACTACGGATTTCAGAAATATATAATTTTTTAAGAATAAGAAGTAACTTCAAGGATTGATTTGTTTCTAATTTTTGATAATTTGCCTGAGTCGCATTTATGATCTAGAGATATGGAACAGGCTGTCAATAATGAAAAAAACACATTTTTACTTTGTTCTTTACATATATGGAGAAAGTATTGTTTGAGTCAATGTTTCTGAAATTTGGTATGTGGGTACACTAATTCATGGTATCTTCAGGAAAATCAATTTTAGTTTATTTTGATAGCCTCAGGAATGCATTTTATGACTAATAATGGCTAAACATACTATGCATACATGCCTTAACATATACAGTCTAACCTTGATATAACGAACCTCGATATAACGAATTCCTTGATATAACGATTTTTTTTAATCCCCTAGAACTCTCCATAAGACACAATGTATATTTTACCTCTACATAACGAACAAACCATAACAACGACCTTGATTTAACAAATTTTTCGTGATTTCGGCTAAAATAAGACACCTCAATACAAGGAATTTGTCATTGTCAGAACCTATACATTGCAAATTTAACCTCTGCATAACGAATTGTCTACGTCTTTCCCTCGATATAACAAATCCCACAACCAATTATTGTTTTGGGAAAATCTGTTTCTTTATCAAATTAAATGGAAAGGTCACGTCATCGCTTGCGCTAACATTCGTCTGCTCCGTTTAACATCTTTGTCTGCTATCGATGCGCGCGCTATGTTGCAACTGAGAACTGATTTCATCCACTGAGGATGACGACGTAATGTTTAGTAAGCTGTGATTGGGCGATATGGGATAACTATGGTGAATTGTACAATTTTTGGATAAAGAGAAACCTAAGAAAGAATATAAAAACAAAACCAAAGAGAAAGAATAGCAACATCGTTATCTTAAAATTCCTTTTACGAGTGTTTTTATTATCCTTAAGTTGGCTATGATTATACACTTTTATAATGACTTATGACTTTGTTTCAACTAGCAACACCAATGCTATAGTTAATGATCAGTGTTGGGGAAGCTACTTTTAAAATGTAGCTAGCTACAACTACTGCTACATTTCCAAAAAAGTAGCTTAGCTACAGCTACAGCTACAGTACCGAAAAAGTAGTTAGCTACAACTACAGCTACAATGAAATGTAGCTACAGCTACAATTTTAGCTACTTTTCCAAAGACGTTACTTTATATTCCACGCACATTAGGTAAATGTAAAATTAATTGCAACTACATTTTCATTGAACAAACATTTAAACAAAAAATGTCAGTTTATTGTATCTAACATTACTTGGAAATCAAATTATTCCTAGATTGTATTTAATTTGTTGGCATTATAAACCTAACATTACAACAACAGAACCAAATAGTTAAGTGTCCAATCATATTTAATACTTATTTTTAAATATTGCTTTATTTTAAAGCACCTTATTAAGTTCAAAGGACATACAACCAAACTATATTTTAAAAGCTCATTTTATTTCTTTAATAAAGATTCATTTATTTATTTATTTATTTATTTATTTGTTTACGGTATAACACCATTTTTACAGGGTTGACATAACAGGGTTGACATGCTGATCAGATACAATATTGAAAGATCCTAATTAAATTTTCTTCCCTTCTGCCTTTTCTCATGCTCTTTTACTTTTTTTGTTTTTTGCAGGATTTATTAAAAGGCAGATAGGGACTAACATCACATGCTAATGGAAAAAAACTGGTTGAATAGCAAGCATAACAATGGATAGAATTAGGTAACAATAACAATCGATAAATACTACAAGAAAACATGCGACTAGATAACAGAAAGATAATACATACATCAATTCAATACTAACATCACATGCTAATAGAAAAAGAAAAACTGGTTGAATAGCAAGCATAACAAAGGATAGAATTAGGTAACAATAACAATCGATAAATACTACAAGAAAACATGCGACTAGATAACAGAAAGATAATACATACATCAATTCAGTACTAACATCACATGCTAATAGAAAAGAAAAACTAGTTGAATAGCAAGCATAACAATAAATAGAAATTTGGAAACAATAACAGTCGATAAAATACCACAAGAAAACATGCAACTAGATAACAAGAGAGATAAAACTACATCAATAGTACAAGCAATATCAATAAACTAGTGACAGACGGCAATAATGACTAGGGAGCATTGATAAGGAAGCATTGACAGAGAATTAAATTATTACACAAGACCTGTACAATTAAATCACAGCAGAACGAGATTACTGTTCCTCAAGAACCGAAGACGCAATCCTCTTGACAACCCGTGGACAGCAGTCAAAGAAGTCCACATAATGACAGAGCCGATTGCCGAGTCGATGCAGTCTAGGCAGAGGGCTATAAAGTTCATAGTTCGTGGAGCAGTGTTGGCGAGCAAACAGCACATTGGAACGAGTGGATCTAGGTGGGGAAACATGCAGGTCAATCAGCGCAAGCAGATCAGGACAGTTGATTCGTCCATTTAGTATCTTGAACAGGAACATGGCATCACTGATTTCCCTCCTCTTGGCCAGGGTATCAAGTCCAAGAAACCTTCTGATGTCCTGGGTAGGTACATCCCGGTACATGTAACCCATCCTACATCCAATAAGACGTAGAAATCGGCACTGGACACTCTCCAGACGATCAATGGATCAATTTATGGATGTCTTATATCAACAATTAAGACCAATAAAACTGTAAAACGAGTAGGCCTATTTAAAAATACTTTTTGTGTTACAGAGCCTAGCCTACTGAAATTGGAGTTTATTGCCTTTCTTTACTTTTAATGATAAAAACGACATTGCTATAACTTTTAACCACAGTGATAAGTTGTTCTATGAATAACACTTTTCAATGTCATGAAATCGTCCTTTATTGTCATTATGCATAGGGCAAATTGTGCTTCAACCTAGTTGGTACAGAAAACAGTATCAGCAACTTATCCTGAAATCGGTTTTTAATTTAAACATTTTGAAATTTGTAAAGTAAAAATAACATGTAGGCCAAGTTGGCTATAGTAGGCTTGTTCTTGCAAGGACTAAACATATATATATTCCTAATAATTGAACTTGGAACTTGGTATTCGTCTTAAACCATAGCATAGCCTAGGAATAGTCCTATTTAAGAGCTGTTAGCAGGAGCAAACTATGCTATTTTTTCAATGTAAGTTTCATGTTATATGGAGAGTTTTTCGTTACCTACAATTTATCATGTAGTCTAGGCATATCTTAAATCTCATCAGGTAATTTCCTCTTTGTTAATTTAGTAAACCTTTGAAAAATCTTAGTCCTAATCAAACCAAGGAAGGGCTTGTGATGATAAACCACAATCAACAGCTGAAGCAAAGGTTGAAAGACCAGCTTTCTCATTATTTTAAGGTTTAGTGTTGGTTTCCATTAAAACCCAAGTTGAAACACTATCGATATAATAAAGAAACTAAATTGATTACTAATTTTCCTGTCAATCACTTGCAAGCATTCAATAGCTTCTCTTGTCACCGGTAACGTTTAAACGCATCTAGCGATTTTATTTTATCTGACAGTAATCATAGAGTAGTAAATTAAGGAAATGAGAGCCAAAAATGTGGATAACACTCATTTAACGGCCTCCATGTCCACACAACGTTGTTATAGGGAATGAAACGGCTGCAACCAGCTGTATGAAGCCAAGAAAGTAGGCCTATTTTTTTTTTTTTTAATCTCAGTTTGAAAGAGGTTGTTTCACGTAAGGTTGAGGTTATGATAAAAATCACTACCTATCTCAAACAATGTTAATGTAGCGAGAAAAGTAGCTAAAATTCCGCTACAACTACTTTAAAAATGTAGCTACAGCTAAAGCTACAAAATCTTAAAAGTAGCGTAGCTACAGCTAACGCTACAAAAAAAGTAGCGCGCTACTGTAGCGTCGCTACTTGTAGCGCGCTACTTCCCAACACTGTTAATGATTATTATTGACATTCCTCTGTTGTGATAAATCAGTACTGTACTGTAAGTAGCCTACCGGCCTATCGCGAGCAGTAGCTTACAAAACTTTCTAACTTACTGTTTTGTTTTGTTATTTACATGGTTTATGACTACGCAATACAGTGTTTGGCTAGGTTTTAGGAGGGTTAGAACAAGCTGTGATTTTAAACTTACAGCTTTTAACCTATACCAAGGTAAATGCCATTGTCATGATTGCGCAATATTCAAGATATCTCCCCTTTATTATGAAGGATTTTAGGTTCTACTGTACAATGTAAACACTGTACTGTAAAGTATTGTAGCCTATGCTACTGGAATTGTATTTTAATGAGGTCAAATCCCGACCTATATTGACCGACGCTGGTTCTGAACCTCGACTTAGCGAAATTCCTGCTAACCTAACCTCTATATAACGAACCTCGTTTAACGAAATCCTTGATATAACGAATATTCAGTTCGGTCCCTTCAGATTCATTATACTGAGGTTGAACTGTACTGTAGTGTTGTATTTTAAAACTTACTACGTATGTTTCAGTGGTTCTTTAACTCTCCCAACGTACTGCGGGAAAGGAAATTTACTAAACACTTTGGAAGAATTTGAAATATACATTAAAACTAGGGACAGCACACACATTTTTAATGAAAAGCTCAATTGCGAATCCCATTATATTTTCAATACTCTCCTCCGTTATTACTATAGTCCACAGCTCACTACCATACTATAGTCCATGTCAGTCTGTCATAACCTAATTCAGTCTACTTCCAGTCCTGCCGGCGGCAATGTACACACATGAATTACTAGGCCTATCTGTAATCATTTTGTATTTTTGTGTTATGTGTGAAATTTTTATAACTTATTTTGACAAGGCCTCCACAAGTGGATCCTGAAGATGGTAGAGTTTAAGAAATGCCAAAAAATATGAAGCATGTTTTAAAATACGACACTACAGTACATGTTGAGGATTGTCCGACAAGGTATGTTTAGCCATTAGTCAACATTTTGAATTCATAGAACTGATTCATTAAGCCTAAACTGTCACTTGACGTTTTTAGTCCATATGTTACCTTTTTACATAGTAGATATTTTGAAAAAAGTTTATAAATTAAAGATCAAATTAAATTGAAATATTGTATAGTCTTTGTCGAGATATCTCTAATTCAGAGACTGTTTATCTTACCTAAGAGACATGTTCTTCCTTTACTTTTTATAGATAACCTTCCGATTTTCAGATTAGGTGTTCCAGATTAGGTGAATTTTGGATCACCGAGTCACGGCATTATCTCAGAGCCAATTACTACTATTGATTACCAGTATGAAACTTGATTTATTAACAAAGAATAATGGTATACTTATAGACCACCAACAACTCATCTCACTTTTGGATATAAGTGTACAGAATCATCAAAACAAAGTGTAATTCCAAAATATGTTATTTACCTTTTTGAATATACAATTTAAATTACAAAACCCTATCATATAAAAAACAAATTTATTCTTGAGAAATTAAATTTATAATCATAAGGAACATACCACAGCAAAGCCATATATGCGTCACTATCAACAGGGTTAATGAGAACATGTCCTTCAGGCAGGGTGGGTGGTTGTGTAAGAGGTAGAAAAAGAGTATCCGAAGTACCCAAACTGACAGCGACATCTCCTGGTCTCAGAGTCATGCCTGCAAACATAACAGGGTATATTTTTTAATTAATCACTCCTCACCAAAAGTAGTTATTTCCGATAACAGCTGATATCAAAGAAAGTAGTTGTTTCCGAAGCTCTAATAATTTAGAGTGAGGGAAAAATGAACAGCTGATTTTCCCTTGCTCTCTATTAGTTCTCTATTAACCCACTATGTGAGCTAGTGTTTTGTTACAGTTTATTTTGATGATTTAAATCAGCTGTTTTCATTGTTGCACAATCTAAATGTATACAGAAACATGCATTAGTTTGTTTATTGTTTTATTTTAATTGCTCAAAATATGTCTAACAGTTAGGCTAATTTCTAATGATTTAATGAAATTGAATTGAATGAAAAAAGCTTTAGAGATAACCAAACACCTGCCACAAGAGAAATCATGGGAAAGACATGAATAGAAAGTTTACGGACTGGTACAAAGTACAAAACGTTAAACATCTAATATGTTAGAGGAATTGAATATAAATAAGAAAAATGCTTGTGACATGTCTTTGACACACAAAATAGAGAGACCTGTAAATGTTTGGGGTACCTGCTAATGATGAGGGGTTGTCACCAGTGAATGCTATGACTCTACAGGAAGGGTTGAAACTGTGCCTCTCCACCATGTAGTCACTGACACAGCCCAGGTCAGAGTGAGAGGGTACTGGCTCTCCCAGCCTGGAGGCTAGGTCCTCAGCACAAGCCTACACAAACACACTACATTGTAGATTACAGTACATGTAATGCTATGACTCTACAGGAAGGGTTAAAACTGTGCCTCTCCACCATGTAGTCACTGACACAGCCCAGGTCAGAGTGAGAGGGTACTGGCTCTCCCAGCCTGGAGGCTAGGTCCTCAGCACAAGCCTACACAAACACACTACATTGTAGTTTACAGTACATGTAATGCTATGACTCTACAGGAAGGGTTAAAACTGTGCCTCTCCACCATGTAGTCACTGACACAGCCCAAGTCAGAGTGAGAGGGTACTGGCTCTCCCAGCCTGGAGGCTAGGTCCTCAGCACAAGCCTACACAAACACACTACATTGTAGATTACAGTACATGTAATGCTATGACTCTACAGGAAGGGTTAAAACTGTGCCTCTCCACCATGTAGTCACTGACACAGCCCAGGTCAGAGTGAGAGGGTACTGGCTCTCCCAGCCTGGAGGCTAGGTCCTCAGCACAAGCCTACACAAACACACTACATTGTAGATTACAGTACATGTAATGCTATGACTCTACAGGAAGGGTTAAAACTGTGCCTCTCCACCATGTAGTCACTGACACAGCCCAGGTCAGAGTGAGAGGGTACTGGCTCTCCCAGCCTGGAGGCTAGGTCCTCAGCACAAGCCTATGCAAACACACTACATTGTAGATTACAATTATCATATGATAAGAAAGTGTTATTATGTAGGCCTATATTTGGATGGATGTTATACAAATAAAATTATGCCATTAGCATGTAATTATGTTTACATGCTTGGTGGATCTTTTTCTTAGAAAGTTGTAAAATATTATGTAAAAGATGAAAATTGATATCTGTCAAGTAACTGCCGCATGCAGCCCTACTGACTTTAGCTTTTTTGAAGACAATTTTCATCTATTTTTTTTATCAATTATTAAGAACTTTGATGGATAAATCTGTAAACCTCATTTTCAAACTCCAGTATCAAGTTGGACTTGTTTACATAGACTTACTGCTTACGAGTAACCACAATGGAGATAAACCTGTGGAGTCATATATCATCTAGGTGGCCAATGTTGTTAATCTAAACACAGGACACTTCAAAGCTTAAAGGATTTAGTGCCATCATAATCCCAATTGTTGAGCAAAAGGTGTGCGTGAAAAAGATAGGTAACGGAGTTATATTACATTTTCTAAAAATATTACCTTTCATTCTTGAGAAGATTATAGGTTTTTTATTATTTAGTTTTTAGTTTTCACCCTTTTGACTCATACCAGTTTAATACAGTGTGAAATGATTGGATCTATGCAGAATATTTAAAAATAAAATAACTTAGCAATGCTAAACCTAGTTAAAACCTAAATCCATAAAACACCAACCTTCAGACAATCTTGTGACCAACTTTTGCTATGGATATCCAATAGATTCATTCCAGAACCATCTGACAAGTCTATTGGAGCGTATCGACCGAGGAACAGTGAACAGGCAAAACTGCTGACTAGAGATATCCTCTGAAAACATTGAATATAATATAAACTATGTGTTTATATAGTGGGTCTATACAGGAATGTGTCGATTCTTGATACCCTTGACAATACTTGATAATACTTGACAATTGGTATTGGTATCAAGAATTGATCAACGCAAGTCGATGCCAATACCAATACTCAAAATGTTTTCAAAGATTGCATGATTGACAAATTACCACTTTTTCTGCAATCACGGATGTCGCAAATGACATTTCCGTGACCACAGTATATGTTCCAGCTTTTGCCGTGGTTGCGGATGACGACAATGACGTTCCTGTGACCGCGGAAGACGATGATGATGTCTACATGACCGCAGGAGATCATCACAACTAACTCAAATTTGGCCTGATCGAAAATCTCAGGCTGTCACATCTCTTAATATAACATTTTCTTTTTGATATTTGTTTGCAAGATCTTTTATCTTTGATATGGTATTAATTTAACATGTTTAGAAATCAAATCAAAATTCCTTTATTCTCGAGCGCTTCTCAATATAATATTGGTTTACAGAACTACTCACATCACTCAAACTAAATATTTACAAGTAATATCCCTAAACAAATTATGTACATGTACAGAAGTAAAAAAAAATTACATGCCTGCTTTACAATGAATATTACCCTTTTTTTTTAAAGCTAAGGCCGAAAGGCTCTTGAACTGATAGGGGAGGTCGTTGTAAATGGTTGGGCCAAAATAGGAGAAGCCCCTCCTCCCTATTTCCAAATTAACTTTTGGAAAGTGGAGGAGGGTGTCCTCCCTAGTGCCCCGTCGAGCAATTGCTCCACGTGTCACATGTCTCTCCACCAGGTCTTTTGGTTCTCTGTGAGATAATACCCGATGGATGAGGCAACAAGTTTGCATTCTGCATACAGCTTCGGCTGGCAACAGACTAGCAGAATCATGGAAAGAGGATATGTGTTTCCGCTTATGAAGTCTGTAGACAAAACAAACTACAGTGTTTTGCAGCCTATTAAGTCGGTTCATATCCTCCCGGGAAATACTGTTGCATATGCAGGTATGCAGTAATACATCACTGACAACACCAGAGACTGAACCAACTTCAATTTTACAGTCTCTGGAAGAATCAAACGGAATCCGTACAGTCCTTGCAGCCTTCCCAAACAATTTGAGAAAATGTGTGGTTGGAGAAGGTAAAACCACTGTCAAGAACCACGCCCAAAGTCCTGACAGTGTCACAAACCCTAAGCTTTTCATTTTCAAGTTGAATATGCACGTCACCGTCGCAGATTTTTTGAATTGCGATGGGTGGTGATCCGATGTGGATCACTGTGCATTTTTTAACATTCAACTTAAGGCCGTGCTTCCTTGACCACTCACTTATTCTTTTAAGATCCATGTTTGCATCCTCAAAGGCGCTATTGAATGAGCCAATTGGGTAGGGAAAGTGCTACTGGCAGTCATCTGCATACACATGCACAGTACAGTGACGTACACACGTGGTAAGGACGGCTGTGTAGAGTGTAACCAAGATCCCAGACAACTCCCGCTTTCCTCTGTCCACGTGAATATGTAGAAGGGTTTACATTTGAATTAGAACTACTTAGAATTTGTCATTGCTGCTTAGTTTTTAATTGTTAAAAATCCCACTAATCCAATATTACTTTGTCTAGGGACACAAAAACAGGGTTTGATGAAGTATATGTTCATGCTTGGATGACAGCATTGACGTCTCCGTGACTGCTGGATATGTTCACGCTTTTGCTGCAAGCTTGGATGACAGCATTGACGTTTCCATGACTGCTGGATATGTTCACGCTTTTGTCGTGGTTGTAAATGACCAATCCATTTTGAAATTTGGTCAAATTCTTAAAAAGTGGTATCAGTATCGAGAATTGATCTTTCAGGTATTGGTATCGAGAATCGATAATTATTAGTATCGACAAATCACTCTTTTCATCTTTACGTTATGAAAATATAGCCTCCCAGCCATATGCAGATTCAAATTAAGTTAAGTTGTAATTCAGAAAAGAGAAAGAGATACTTTGTTAGGAATACTCTGGTATTCTCATTCTGCTGACAACCTAACTCCTAATAGTTTAAGAAGGATTACGTTTTGGTAAC